AACAGTGATGAGAAAGGTGTCTAGTGGTAAATTTATGATGACAGAATCGTAATGTACCTCCTGACCCAAGGACCTTGTGATGGTATAGGATTGACACTACTATTTAATGATATTTGATAAGAAATAACCCTTGATTTTTTTAGGTTACTGGTAGTTTTGGCCCGACAGTGTAATTGACTTCTGGACAATTTGATTTATAAAATATATAATACAATGACACAACAAATACCATTTCTTGTAAAACTAATATTTTGATAGCTAAGTGAAAATCTATCTTACTTATATGCACGAAAAACTATAAATCTTGGGTACTACCTTCTCTGTGTCCACTTTTCGGTTACCTGGGCTGGGGGTAAGGATTGCCTTATTTGTAATTTATAGTCAAAGTTGGGCTTTATACTCACAGATTACGGATAGTTTCCTACGAAATCCTTTGGGAATGATAATTCTGAGTCCACCCCATAACTTGAAATTCTTACACTTAGCCCAATCTTCTATATTGGCTTATTTAACTTAATTCACCTACTTGTGTTTCCTTGAATTTTCTCTAAATATTTGGATGTTATGATCACAATGCTAACCTTTTAGCAGCAATGTCGGAGGTGGCATGTACGCACTATCATTTTATTTCCTTTTTACTGCAATTTTTTCTTATTTTTATCGACTTATACATAATTTAATATACCTAAAATGACCCCTAGGGTAGAGAACAATGGAACACTATTTAAGGGAGCAATTACAACAAGCCTTGAGACCCAACTGTAACTATAAGTCCAATCATAAATCTTAAACCTATAACCATCACAAGTAAGGAGATTGGAGCTAATTTTCCAGAAAGCAGGATGAGGGTGTAGACGGACGGAGGACGACTTCAAACGATAAAACATGAATCAACTAAACTTTCCTCAGTCTTAAATAAAATTAACCCGTAGGACTTTGAGGTTGTCAGTATAGTGTGACATACATCCTTACTTTATCTCTTCGGCTTCTACATAATCATATTGCGCAGTGTAAGTCCCAAGTCTTTTTAGGGTTTCGAGATTGTCCGTGTCGTACGACGTAAACCCTCCTATCCTTCTAGGCTATTTGCATGGTCATATTTTGTGCAAATGTATGCCATAATTTTAAATAATTGGTAGGAGTAAACATTAAATAGTTATTGTTTCCAAAATATAAAGCCAAATAATAGGATAGTTTGGGAGTTATCAGTGTTCTCCTCAAAATTTATGATGTCCTCTACTTCTCGCTCCTTTGATTTCCAACATAACCATTCCATATCAAGCCCTTTTGATTTGAATTTCCTATAAACAATCACATAAATTATACATTGAATACTTGAAGTTGAAACCCCTGATCTTAATCGACAGTTTTCTTAGGTAATTATGGTTGTATAAGATATAATTAACTACAGAGGCTTGTCTCTATAGAAAATTAGGAACCTAGATAATCTTAAGCCTATCTGATTTTTTATATCAGATAGAGTAATTGTCAGTCATAAGCTTTGCTGACTAAAAGGGTGTCAAAAAATTTTTAGTTTAAATATATGAGCTTACTAACAAGAAATATGCTCATCTCTCGGGGTAGTGTAGTATTTGTGGTATTGTGCTCAATTATCTAAACTATTAAGTGTGTGTGATCTATTTTATCTCATATTTTAAAAATTAAAATTTTATTTTCGAAACTAAAATTATGTATACATATTAATTTAAATTAAAATAATAATTTTCACAAAAGATAGAACAACAAACCCATTTGGGGCAGCTTATTTGGTGAAGTACATTTTGAAAATACCAGCTTACCCATTTGGTTATTGCGTTGGTGGTGCTTATCGTAAAAATTTGATTGATATGTCTTATAAATGCAGTCATGGGCTTGACCCCACTGCCTGCGTTTTTTTGCATGACTATTACCCCACTGCTCTTCTCAACCCTACCCCTCTCGACCGCGTTCCTTCGCCCAACTTCTGCCCTAGGTGCTCGCCTCTCTCCCCTCTCTTCCTCGATTGCTTCTCTCTCGCACTTAGTAATGTCTTTCACATTTTCCTCCTCCCTCCGATCTCTGGTTATTGTTCTTTGTAAGTAATTTTCGATGAAATGCTCTTCAATATGCGATTTCTGACGATATTTTTATGAAATGGTTTTCTTTATGTGATTTTTCAATGGAATGACTTTCTTTATTAAATTTTCTCAATTTTTTGATGGAATTTGGCAAATGGTTGAAAGTGTGTTCTCGACTTGGAATCTGAAAAATTTATTAATAAGGGTGCTCATTTGTAGATAGCAACTTTTTAGGTGTCTTGTATGTATTTGCCTTAAATGAAAAATATCGGATGAGGATTTACCAATTCCTTTGCTGTTTAATTGGTAATCTGAAAAATGGATGTAAAAGGGTACTTAATTTTTTCATAGTATTCTTTTGGGTGACCTATTCACAATTGCCTATATTCAATACAACACTTTTTTTTAATGTTTGATCTATGAATTGAAAAAATAGATGAAATTGGATGCTTCATTTGTAAATAATAATGTTTTGGTTGGCATGTATGGCATTGCCTCGAATTAAAAATATGGGATGAAAGAGGGTGCTTCATTGAGGTGTGGGTTGTGTGATGTAGTTGGGTGTTGTGTGTTGTGGTTGTGGGTATGTGTGTGATGTGAGTGCGTGTTTCATGGTTGTGTGTGTGTGTGTGTGTGTGGTATAGAGCTATGCGAGATGTGGGTCTTGATGTAGGTTGTGTTATGGTGTGGTTGTTTGTGTGTGCAGTGGGTTGTGGTTGGGTATTGTGTATTGTGGTTACAGGTGTGTTGTATGGGGTTGTGTGCACTTCATTGGTGTATATCCTTACAAATGGGTTTCCATGTATTTAATTACCTCAAATGAAAAATATGGGAAGGGCTTTTATTAACCCCTTTGTGGTTTGAAGAGCGAACTGTGTTGTGGTGTGGTTGTCTGTGTCTGCTGTGGGTTGTAGTTAGGTTTTGTGTGTCGTGGTTGTGTATAACCCCTTTGTGGTTTGAAGAGCAGATTGTGTTGTGGTGTGGTTGTTTGTGTGTGCTGTGGGTTATAGTTAGGTGTTGTGTGTCGTGGTTGTGGATGTTTGGTGTGGGGTTATGTGTGTTGTGGGCCTCAATGTGGGTATGTTGTGATGTGGTTGTTTGTGTGTGTTGTGGGTTGTGGTTGAGTGTTGTGTTGTGGTTGTGAGTGTGTGCGTGGTGTAGGGTTGTGTGTGTTGTGGGTGTTTCATTGGTGTAAGCAGCATTGGGGTGCCATATACTTAATTGCTTCAAATGAAAAATATGGGATTGGGTTTTATCAATTCATTTGATGTTTGAGTGACAATTTGGAAAATGGATGTAAATTTGTGCTTGATTTGTTCATAACATTCTTTCAGGTGGCCTGCTTGCAATTGCCTCTATTCAATGCTATACAATTTTTTTTAATGTTTGAGCTATGAATTGCAAAATGGATGAAAGAGGATGCTTTATATGTTGATGGAAACATTTCGGGTGGTCTGTATGTAATTGCCTCTAATTAAAAATATGGGAAGGGGTTTTATTAGTCCCTTTGCTGTTTGAAGAATGGATGACATAGGAGGGTGCTTCATTGAGTTGTGGATTATGGGTTGTATTGTGCTTCATGAAGATAGCCCTCGATCGCAGGGTCAATTATTTGCGTTTCTTTTTGCTAGCAAAGACATTTGATTTTATGCAGTTATTATTGTACTGCTTGGATTTATTTCATGTAGTTTAATCAAATATTTTGCTATTCTATATTATTTCTTCTTATTGTACGCTTTGTGATTTCATTTTTGATATTTTTTAATGCGGTGAGATTGACATGTATTACTTGTACAGAACATTTCTTTAGCATAGACTCATAAAGAGAGAGGTGCAGAAGGAAAATTGCGACAACAGTTTTTATGTTATATGAGTACTACAACTTGTACATTGATCGAACTCTTTGCATGACATCTACTTACATTGACAATAAGTATGTTGGGGAGCTACTACAAAGACCCCTACGAGATTCATCAATATGTTTCATATGACACAACCCATATTTATAAATCTACTCGATAAGCTACATATAAATCATGGATCTACTTGATAGATCTCCTACGGGAGACAATTCTACAGGTGCTCACAGCGAATCACAAAGAACTGTTATTTCTTCCGGTGGGCAAATAGGCTTGAAGAATCAACTGCCGAGAGTGACCAAGGGTGAAGCTATTCCTGAAGGACGACATAACTACTGACATACGTAGTCTCCACTTTAAAATTAATATTTTCATATTATTAAATGTAATTTAAATAATCTTTTTTTTTGTCATAATTATAATACTTACTGTTAAATGAGATGTATATTTTATTTTTTGTACAGTTCTTCTTAAGTTGTTTTTTGCTTCTCAAGTATCAAATATATTGCTATGATACTTATGTTGCAAACAATATTACTACACAAGGGTAAAATTATCATTTGTTTGGAAATAACTACAAAATAGTTGTTTTTCGAAAGCACAAACTAAACAGTGAGTCAGCTCATACGGATCAACTACTGCGCAGTAGCTTTTCTGCGGCAGCTGCTTATCAACAACTAATTAACAAGCTACAACTATCTCAAATAGACTCTAAATTCGGTCTATGAACTTTTAGCCATACATAAAGAGTAACTACAAATGAAATTGTAAAACTAAAAAATTATACTTCAATAAGATAAAATTTGAACTCAAAATAAAATATTTGATTTGATTCATTCAATCCGAAATTAAAAGTTTTAGTTCCAAATGTAGAAGGACTCCAAAAAGATAATAATTTATTTTATAGTCGCATTAAAAACGAACTTCTGTTGACATGCAATAAACTTGCATATTTTAAAGAGATTCAGTGAAATTGTGGATTGACGCACGGCACCTCACCATCCTTCATTCCTTGCTGTCGAAGTTTAGAATAGTATTGATGATTTCCCTTTTTTTTTTAATAGAAAGTGCAAATATAACATTGGAAGAATTATTGCTCATATTTATTACCTTACCAATACCTGCTCTTCCGTTCTCCTCCCCCCATTACCCTCAAAAGCGCTAGAATTGCAAGAGATAGAGACGGCTATGGAGGAGTTCTACCTTAGCATTGCATCGATGCGGCCAGCGTCCGCTCTCCTATTCGCTTCGGCGGCGTCGCCTGTAGATTTCACACCCTCCTTGTTTGATTCCCCTCCGCCGACTCCTGCGCAGGATGTGACGTCCAACGTCGACGAGGAGATGCAGGAAGCATTAGAACAAGTACAATTCGTCATTGGCTACTCATTCAGTAATTTATCTCTCCTGGAGGAGGCCCTGACCCACTCCTCCCACCCAAGCCGCATTTCTTACCAGAGGCTTGAGTTCGTCGGAGATGCTGTGCTTAACCTTGCATTCACCAATTTTGTCTACCTTACGAACCCTTCAGTCGGTCCTGGTGCTCTTTCGCTCCTCCGAGCCGCCAATATCTCCACCGAGAAACTCGCTCGCGTCGCCGTTCGTCATGATTTTTACCGCTATCTCCGTCGGAACTCACCCTCGCTTGATTTAATGGTGTCAATTTATCGCTTCATTTTAATCTTAGTAATTTTTGTTTGTGCGATTCTATCGGAGTAGTAACTTTAGGATTTTCTTTTTTCCCAGGTGCAGGAATTCTCTGAAGCAGTTAGAAAAGAAAAAGAGGAGGACTATGCTGGAATTTCATATGGCGGAAGCATGGTAAAAGCTCCTAAGGTTTTGGCGGATATTGTAGAGTCTATTGCTGCCGCTATCTACATAGACTGTAGCTTCAATCTCGTGGAGTTCTGGAAGGTAAATTTTTTCCTTCTTTCTGGATATTTTGATTGATTTTCTTTTGCTCAAAATTTCCACCTGTTTCTACTTTCCCCCCTTATGTGGTAATTTGATATTTTTCCTGGATTTTTTTCTTTCTTTATGAATCATGATTCCGATTTTGTGCTAACAAGGCTGAAATTTGCTTTTTTTTTTTAATGATTACACCGATAGGTTTTTAGGGGAATTTTAGAGCCAATCATTACTGTGGAAACTCCAAACCAGCAGCCCGTTTCACACATCTATGAGCTATGTCAAAAGCAAGGATTGAGTATCGAGTTTAAGAATTGGAAGAAAGAAAATATTAACATAACTAATGTTTACGTTGATGGGGAGCTTCTTGGTGTTGGGTCCTCTGAGCAGAAGCCTATTGCAAAGCTCAATGCTGCCAGAGATGCACTGCAAAAGTTGTGCCATGATGAGGCTGACCGCATGGATATTGCCAAGTGCTCTTCACAGAGCAGTAGAACATTGGAAGACGTGGCAACATCCACACAGATGAATGGTGGGCTTGTGACGGGCAAGGCTGATGCAAATGGAGGAGAGGAAGTAGATGGTTCAAAACAGAGGCTTCATGATCTTTGTTCCAAGAAGCGTTGGCAAAAGCCAGTTTACAGGTATGTGATTACCCTTTTTAGGCAGTGTTTGATTGGAGCCTGAATTTACGTTAAATAAGATTTATCAAATCCAATAAATTCAATCGTTGATGTGATGGAGATGAACTCCCGAGCGGCTTTAGGAAGAAATTTTTAAATCTGTCTAACAATCATTTTTACTAAATCCGGATTTAAGTCCTAAAAGAGACGAAACGCAGGAAGAAAAGAAGTAACACGAAAAATTTTGATTTAACGAAAAGTTGGATTTCATTTTTCATTTTTTTAATGTTTGGCTAGATTTTGGGTAAATTCTCTTTAAATGATGCTACCAAACACTGCCTTACTCTTCTTAATAGCATTGCTTACTTGACTGGAACTCTTTAATCGTTGGTTGCATCGGTATCCTTTTTCCTAATTCAGAGAAAATGATAATAGGTGGGCAACAAAAATGGAATATTATGCTTTTTTTTTCAATTTTTTATTTTTGGAAAGGGAAGAATTTGATATTATGGAACAACCTAGAAGATATTTTGAAGAATAAACTTTTGAAGTTTACATGAATAAACCATTCAAGCGAGAGATAGGCGGTAATGGTGAACAATGCATGAGACCTACAAAAAGAGAATCAATTTTTATAGATGTTGAAAGAAAAACATTTCTTTATTCCATCTTTAACTTTATAAAACGCAAGATGTGGGTGATATCTATAAATATAGGCTTTATTAAAATGATGGAACTTCTTTAAAAAAATCTACCGTATTTCATTGTATTTGCCACTCGCCTGCTTGCTCTCCATTTATCTTGTTTTTGTCTTATATCAAAGAATAATTGTTTCCCTTTCACCTTGATTTTCACATTGCATCATTTTTAATATTAAAGCAATATGACATCAAGAAATTTTTACGACCACCTACTGTTGTTTTCGTGTTGTGTCAGTTTGTGATCAAGGACTTTGGTATGAAGAAGAAATACTAGACTTTGCTGACCCTAATCTCAACAATATGCTATTAGATTCATTAGAGACAATGATAATGAGGCATTAATTCATGATAAAATGTAAAGGAAAGATGAAAATTTGAGCTTGGAAAATTATTGATTGAGAGTTGAAATGATTTTAAAGAGAAAAATGAACAAAATAACAAAGTATGTTATAGATTGTTAAAAAAAGTGAAGTCATCTTTAAAAATTTGCTTAAAGGAACAACTTTAGATGTAGATGGGGTACATAGTAAGATTTAAAGGGTTGTGGGTGATACAATGATTTGGTTGATACTCTTTTTATTAAAATTTTTGAATTAAAATAATGTGTTGGAGAAGAAACATTTTGGTTTCATTCAAGAACAATAAATGTGTCCTACTTAATAGAGGGAAATATATAGGAAAGTGTGAACATAAATATTGAAAAAAAATTTTTGGGCAAAGTCAATTAAGGAGAATCTTTTTGGTGCAATTAAGAGCAAAGATAATAAGAGAGTAACATATATAAAATTTGAAAATTATGTATTTATAAAAAATTCAATTTAGTTTCATACTAAGAAAATATACTATATACATGTTTTTGTGTTGTGGCAATTAATGAAAAAAATATAGATGTATAAAAGGGATTTCATATGATTTTGATCAACCATAAGAGGGCTTGTATTTGAGTATTAGGAGAATGTTTGCATTAATAAAAGAAATTATTATAGATATGTTAAATTATTGGAGATATGCATTATAAAGCCTTGAGGAGTGGTTAGACTGTATGTAGGTTTCCCAATTATTATATTATTAAATCAAAGTTGAATATTAAATTTGCTCTTGTTTGTATTTTCTTATGGAATTGCTTCTAAGGAAAATTCAGAGCAAGGTTCATTGGTATATGTTTTTCATATATGATTGGTGAGATGTGCTTAAATAAGTGAAAATTTGAAATATTTTACAAGATCATTTAGAGGTAAAAAGCATAGGATTATTAGAATAAAGGTCTAGCATGTGGAATATAATTGTGATAGTTGTACTTTAAAAATCAATATTACTTTAAGAGATAGTGATCCTTAGATATGATAGTTTTAACTATTTTGAACATATTATTTTGAGGTTTAACGATATCATTGAGGATATAATTTCTAAGGATAAAAATTATGCTGTTAAAATGGAAGCATTTTATGAGTAGTTTATGATTAGAAAATATCATCATCAATCTTATAATTAACTTTTATAAATTATATTATTTTGGCTATATTATGGTTTTTATCATCTAAGAGCAATATTTCATCAATATTCAAGACAAGCGGGATAGAAATGGGATCGTTAAGATGGATAAGTGGTAAAAATAGGAAGACTGAGTTGATGAATGATTGTATTAGAGAGACAATGGTTGGTTGTCATATGGGGCAACTTTTAAAATTAGATATTAGATAATAGAATTTAGTTGTTTGGATAAGTTGATCAATTATAGCTTATATTAATTAATAAGTTTGTCAATATTTTATTATATTTATTTAATACAAATAAGAATAATATCATAATTCATCACTTATGTTTAGTTAAGCAATAATGTATGGTAGAACTTGATAAGTGGCATAATATATAAATTTGTAAGATCAGGCATGCTCTCTTAGAGTTTGGGATAGTGGTGGTGTCCCATAGTTTCACTTATAGGTCACCCCATAGTCTTTCTTACTCATTATTAGGATATTAGTGATCACACTTGGTTGGGGAAGTTGAGATCAGAAAGGGGTGGGGGTGTAAAATACTTTTAGATCATAAGAGTTATGCCTATTTTTCTCTTTTTTTGGTAGCTATTAACTGGCATCCAACATTAGTAGCATTAAATTGGTGCTCCATTGAAGTCACATGAAAGAAACAACCAAAAGAATGGCTATTTTTGATGTTGTATCAGTGCTTGGTCGTTGTTGTCTATCCCTTATCAAAGGAATAGACCTTAATAAGATAACTATGTGATATCTCACAAAATATCTCATATAATATATAATTTTCATAAATATTCTAAAACATTTAACAGAAATATTATTGATTCTCAATTTTTTTTGGTCTCTATCCTCTAAATAGCGGCTTTTCTATATTTTGAATTGAAGCAGTGAGTACCTATACATTCCCTACTATTGTCTCTTTCTCTTATCTTTAGTTTAACAGAATGCCTCAAATGTGGTACTGTAGCCTCCTTAGCTTTGAGCTTTAGCTTTTTTTTCATGTTGGAGGTGATTGTCACACCCCCTTTTAATCTAATGCTTGACTATGAAGAATCTTATATCCTCTACCTAAACTTAGGGATTAGTAACAAATGAGGAATGGGGATTCAAAAACCCAATCCTAAAAGGTTATGCTAATGTTAATGATATTTATTTTTATTGATAGTCTAAATGAGGATTCTTATAATTGATTACAAATAATTAGGATAAATGTTGACTCCTGAATTATTTGTGGTTCATGCTCAAGTGTTACTAATTAGAGAAAATGTGAAAGATGGGAAAAGAGGTGAGGTGGATATAAAATCAATTAAAATCAAGCTTAGTATGCTATAATGAGAATAGAGGGGGATAATAAAAAAATTTGAACCTTTTCGTTGCCCCTGAGATACTCCTATTTATGGGTAGTATCTTGACTCTCAAGAACTAGAGCTAAGGCTATAGAATGAGCTATATAAATATAAAATTTAGAATGGAATATAGAAGGCTTGTAGCCTTAGTGCATAGTCGGATTAGATAATTGATATGTTAGAGAGGGTGTCAGATCTTTTAGTGGCGTGAGTGCAAGTGAAGATGATTTTATTCTTGAGCCTTAATAGAAGTTTCTCTATGATAGGCATGGGAGTTTGCCATACTATTGACGGCTAGATGCTACGTTGAGCTTGGTTGGCGAACTGTGCTCATCAAACTTGCCCGACGAGCACACTGGGCTTGATCCAACAAGATGTTGTTAGGCTAGGCTGTTTAGCTTGGCTCCTTTATTGTTTTTTAAGTGAATTTGCCCTAGTCGTGTACTATTTAGTTCCCTTACTCTCTTGTTCTTTGAAAATTAATTGCAAAAAGAACAAAAGAATGAAACATTGTCTAATGCGTTTTTTTTAGGGTGTTTATTGCTTTGAATTGGGTTCATACCTTGCATGTTGTAATGTGCGAGTTTGAATGCTTGTGTCAACTTAGTTATATAGTTGCCCTTTAGAGACTCATTGGCATAATTACTAGCATTTAATATTTATCGAAAATAGTCCGTAACAAAAATTCTAGAAAGTTAACATGGATTTTTATTCACGAATTTTGACGCAATTATTGTTTAGCCCACATCAACACAATCTACTTTCCTATAAATCTCTTACCCCTCCATGTAGAAGGGTTTCACATTTTGACTTTTGCTTCTTCTTTGCCTTTTGAATTTTGCAACTTATGGACCATGGACATTGGAAACTGATGATAACGATGAAGAAGTCAGCGTCGTGATGGTAAAGAGTAAGAAGTTGGATGTCCTAGAGGGAAGAAAGAGAAAGATGATTTTGGTCTACACATCCAAAATAAAGAAGGCGAAAGTGGTTGCCCCAATAGAAGGAAAGAATGTTATGTTGGTCTCATTCGATGAGTGTTCATGCACGATTCGTTTGTAGAAAATGAAAGTTACTATAGGTTTTACAATGATGAGTTTGTTGAAGAAGAAATTTGTGAACTATCTTGTGGCACCGTTATGATATTATATTCTTTTGCTATCAAGGCAATAAAAGAGGATGTGATTTTCTGGGTTGCCCCATTAGCTGATGCACATATTCTGTAATAGTCATCATTGAGGGAGACAGTCAGGGTCACCTGAATCTCCTAGTGTTGTGAGTTAGTGGGTTTCTTATTAATGTAGTTGTTGTTGTTGTAGGTGCGAAGCTGAGGCTATCTTGACAAACTGAGGGTGGTTTCGTCTAGTCTACCCTATGCCTATTGCTCATAGTTGCTAGGCCTGAATAGTTAGCCTCTAATCATTGGACAAGCATTAATCGAGGACTCGACCAGTGTTGTTGAGTTGGCAAGGTGATTGGAGAAAATCTCATTGTAGATGGTTGAATTAGTGAATTGGTAAATCA